CCGGCCCGTGCCCGTATCCCGCCCCCCCGGCAGTAAGGCCAGGGGCGGCCTGTGCGTGTGGGGCGGGAACGCCCCCCTCAGCCCGCCTGCTCCTGACTAGTCACGGCCTCAGCATCCCGTGTCTCCCTGTCGCCTGTGGCCTGAGCAGTCTCGCTCCTCCTCCTCCCCTCGGATCAGTCGCTACCTTTTCCAAATTGTTAAATATACACACCGTGGCTGTGTCCACACTGGCCCCTTACTCTGGGAAATCAGCCGCTTTCCCGGAATAACTTGCCAGCTGTCTACACTGGCCCCCTGAATTTCCGGAAAAGCACTGACGATCTACTGTAAAATCATCAGTGCTTTTCCGGAAAAACTAGGCTGCTCCCGTTCGGGCAAAAGTCCTTTTCTGGAAAACTGTTCCAGAAAAGGGCCAGTGTAGACAACACAGATTTCTTTTCCGCAAAAAAGCCCCGATCGCGAAAATGACCATCGGGGCTTTTTTGCGGAAAAGCGCATCTACATTGGCACGGACGCTTTTCTGGAAAAAGTGCTTTTCCGGAAAAGCATCCTGCCAATGTAGATGCGCTTTTCCGGAAATACTTATAATGGAAAACTGTTCTGTTTTAAGCATTTCTGGAAAATCATGCCAGTGTAGACATAGCCCACGTATGTGTGCTCTTTTTGAGATAGGATTTGACCAGAACTGCATGGTGTGATCTTACCATGGATTTATATACAGGACATTATGATATTTTCTATTTTTAGTAGTTGTGCTTTCTCCAGTGGTTCTGAACATTGTTTGCTTTTTGACTGTTGCAGCACTTTGAGCAAGTGTTTACAGAGAACTGTCCATGCTGATTCCCAAGGTCTCTTCCTTGAGAGGCAACAATGAAACTCATTTTTTCCAAACTGCATTATTTTGCACTTATTAACATGAATTTCATCTGCCATTTGATTGTAGTCACTCTTTTTTTGAGAGCCCTTTGTATTCTTTGCAGTCATCTTTGGTTTTAACTTACATCAGTTACAAATTTTGCCATCTCACTGTTAACCCCCTTTTCTACATCATTTATGAATATGTTGACAGCAGTGTTCTCAGTATAGCTCCTTGGTGAGCAATTTGCCGAGCCCCATTGTGAAAACTGACTATCCTGACCCCTTTTTTCCTATTTTTAACCATTTAATCTAGTCCTTGGGAGAACCGTAGTCTGTGGATGTTTAGTTTGGTTAATTTCCCAGAACACACAGGGGACATGACCCTGCCCTAAAAAGCATCCAGTCTAAGGGTTAGTCTTGATAGATACGTGAGGGAGGATTGCAGAGCAGGCAGGAGGATGCAGGTTCTAGTCTTGATATACAAGGCATTCAGGCAACCCTTCCCTGCAAGAGCTCCCACTCTAGAAGACCAGGTTGTACTGGGAGGCCCAAGCGAAGGAGTTTTAGCTGAGTTTATTTTAAGTTTCTTTTCTCATTTTGGCAGAGTTTTCATTGTTTCTACTTGCAGGCCTCCAAAACAGCGACCTTAGGAAAGAGAAGTAGGATGAGGATGGTGGCCTAACACATCTGTCACTTCTTCCTTCTGTTCCTTAAATTACAGTCTTGACTATTTAAATATTATCAATAAGGGAAGAATCTTGCATTGTACAATATATGGCTCAGATCTCTGGTACTGGAGATAACTAGGCTGGCATATTATTGTTTTTAGGGTTCTATTTATTTGTCTCTTGATGTCTTATTTAACATGCGTAGAGAAACGTCCCTAAACTGATCCGTCAGGCTACTGTACATCCTTCTTTCAAGACATGCCTCTGCTCTGGATGCAGTCTGTAAGAAATATCATATGAAGCTTCACTGGAGTCAGCTGAGCAGAGTCCCAATGGGAGGCTTACTGCCAGAAGAGAGTCTGAAGAAGGGATTCAGTGCAGGACAGTTGGCTCTTAAGCTGATACTATATTGGATCTTGCCTAAGGAGTAACATCCAGGAATCCTGGGATCAACATTAAAGTAGCATTCTGTTTGCAAACTCTGTGTTCTCAAATAGCATTCTGTAACATTCTATACTTCACTATAGTAAAGGAGCCCATGCACTAGAATAAGTCTTTTGTATCACAAGGTTGTATTTCTGTTACTGATCATCTCTCTGTCTCTCTGTTTTTCTTTGTCTCTCCCTTAGGCATCTGGCAACAAAGTCAGCAGACAGTCTGTGCTCTGCGGAAGCCAGAACATCGTTCTGAATGGAAAGGTGTGTAATATCAAGTCACGGGTGTAATTTTTGTAAAATCAAACATTTTTGTGGTTTACAGTCAAACGTGCATGTGTTCATAAATTGTATAATCAACTGCTTGACCGAGCTTTGGTTTGTTATGAAATTTACTCAAGGCCAAATGTCAGTTGGGTTTATGAATGGAAAAATGTTTAGATAACAGTCTCTGATATGTTGTGTCATATAATGATTTTACATTTATCTTATACAGGTGGTATGCTCCCCAAATTATATATTTTAGCTGGTGGTATTTATACAATGATTTTACAAGTTACACACATTTTACATGTCACTAAAATCCGACTATCAGTTCCATCCCCACCTATCTTGGTTAGTGCAGGTCTCCTGATTCAACACACACATTTATTTTATTGATCACCATTGTCATTCTTGCTGATATTTTTTTTTTCACCTGGGAAGAAGTGTTCACTAATGTTTTCAGGATTCATAGATTCCAAGACTAGAAGGGACTCCTATGTTCGTCTTGTCTGACCTCCTACATAACACAGGCCACAGAATTTCCCAAAATAATTCCTAGAGCGCAGAGCTTTTAGAATAATACTCAATCATGATTTAAAAAAATGTGGGTGATGGAGAATCTACCCCAACCTTAGGTAGACTGTTCCAGACTAATGACTCTCACCCTTACAAATTTACAATCTGAATTTGTCTAACTTCAACTTCTAGCTGTTGGATCAGTTGCTGTATTGGGATCCACATTTTATGGGATCTCTGCACTTATGTAGCCTTTGGGCAAGGTGCTTCACCTTTTTGTACCTTAGCCTATTAGTAGAGTGGAGATAAGAACTGACCCCTTTCCACGGATGTCCTGAAGCGTCATTAATTTGTCTTGGAATGCTCTCACGAAAGCGACTTCAGTGGTGAATTTGCATTTTCTTTTCTCATTCATGTGGTTTGCCCTACGAGGCCACAATTCATGGACTAATAGGTGCTAATGACAAAAGTTGGTGTTCTTTTGACCCGATTGAACCCTGCTGAAAGGTACAACTTCACTGAAGTTATGGTGGTGCTCAGTGTGTCCTATTGTAATAAAGGTACTGAAAACATTGGTAGAACTAGAACTCACTTGACTCTCTCTTGTTACCTAGACAATAGTTATGAATGATTGTATTATTCGTGGTGATCTGGCAAACGTGAGAGTTGGACGCCACTGTGTGGTGAAAAGCCGTAGTGTCATCAGGCCGCCATTCAAGAAATTCAGCAAAGGGTAGGAGTTTCTGTTTCTTCTGTGCTATCCTGTGAGCTTCGTTAAACTGAAAGGTGATATTTTAATACTATAGCTGAAGTATTGGCAAAAGAAATCCCTAAAGATTCCCATGTCTAACTGCACACTCAACCCACTAAATCTATTCTGAACCCTCGAGCTGTCCTTGTGGGACCCTGTATCAGCTATAGATATTGAACATGGGTTCCCAAACTGGGGGGTGTGAAGAAATTCCAGGGGGGTCCCGAGGTGACCCAGCCTCTCTCTCTCTCTCCCCCGTCAAGTTTTGCTGCCCTGTTCAGATCCTTTTTTCTTTTTTGCTCAACAAGTTTTGCTGCTATTTGGAAGGGGGGGGCGCGAGGGGTTTTCAAAAATCAAAAAGGGGGGCCTGATGCCAAAAAGTTTAGGAACCACTGGATTAGAATGACCCTTCGCGGGCCAGCATGGCCTTGTTAGTGTTTACCAGCAGGGGCCCTATAAGGATTCAAATAATTGAATCATTCTGAACTTTCAGCCTTCTTTGCTGTATTCTTCTCATTCCTGTTGCCCACTGGGGAATCCTAATCCAAAATGCTTCAACAGAAGCTGACTGTACCCTCCTACACAGCATGTTAAGCCCAGAACATGTCAGACTTCACATGTTCGTTGTTTAGCTGCCTGCTTGGAATTAAATAGTTAAAATTCAGTATTCAGAAGCACTCAGATTTATTTCTGTTTCTCCCGTGGAGCTTGAAACACAGAACGTTGCTTCATTGAGTCCCTTTGTAACAGCCATAAAGGTAGCTCTGCTCTGAAGAGTCTGTGGTCTGTTGGGGCAGCGTCACACACCAATTAGTGTGGTAATGCTTTGTTCAGCCACAGCCAGCTCTCTGCCCCTCAGGTGAAAGGGACAAAGCTGGAGTGTATCATGGTGCAGTCCCTGGCCAACAGCATAATTTAGAGGCAGTCTTGGGCTGTTGTTTAGGCCTCATCCAGTCCCAAGAGCAATAAGGCGGTTTAGAGGTGCTTTTTTCCACCCCCTTCCTTGGTCCTGCACGAAGAGCTTGGTTTGACCCAGGGATTCAGACCTTAAATTGTTCAAAAAAAAAAATGTTGCTGCTATTTTCATATGACCACAGAAACTCCTCCTGTTACTGTTACAAGATGCCTTGTTTGCAAATGTTTGCAGGACCCAGTTTAATTCAAGAGGAAATGAATGAGCACAATCCGAGGCTGTGTCCCTAGGGATGTCCTGCAGGAATGTCCTCTACTCCTCCGATTCGGGGGCACTTCCTGAAGTAAATTGGTGGGGGCTACAGTTAGAAGTCAACAAGTCTTGAGTGTCTCCACGTTTGTAACAAACGAGCTGGAAGGCTGGTGCAGTAGTTAGGGCACTAGCCTAGGACTTGAGACCCTTCTATACTGTAGGCTTGCTTGTGTGACTGTGCTACATGAGCTCTCTGTGCCTCAGTTTCCCAGTTGGTTCAATGGGGAGAACAGCACTGACCTGACCATGGGGATGTTGAGAGGTGCTTGGACACTATGGAGATGCAGCCAGATAAATACCTCAGGAAGAATGTCCATGAAGTCCTAGCTGGCAGGACCTACTTATGTCCCTGCAAGCTGCTTTGGCTTCTCCTTGTGAGCCCTTCTCCCTCTCCCAACACAAACTCATATCACACAAAATTGATGGTTGGTTTGGTGTGAAATGTTGTCTGATCATCATGGGGATTTGATACAAAATGCATCATTTCTGGCTAGGGATGTGATCTGGTTACCCGGTAAGCATCAAACTTACTGGCTACTGGTTAACTGGTACCCGGGTGCAGCCTCCTACCCATGGCCCACAGGTTTAACTGGTTAACCGGGATTTTACATCCCTATCTCTGGGCAGATCTATCTTGGCTCCAGCTGATGGGGATGGGATTATATGGTTTGGGGTCTGATGCTATTGTAGAGTTTGAACAAGTAACCCCCTTTCCTTCTCCAGGGTTGCTTTCTTCCCTCTCCACATTGGTGATCACGTCTTTATAGAAGAAGATTGTGTGGTCAATGCAGCCCAGATTGGCTCCTACGTTCACATAGGCAAGAACTGCGTCATTGTAAGTACGCATGGTCGGTCTTCTTCCTTTAAACCCCTCAAATATGGCTAAGAACTTGTACTTCCTTTTGCTGGCTCTGAGGATCGGGGAGCGTCCCACCCTTGGGTTAGGAGAGATGGACTTTGGCGTTGATCCGTGGTTCCCGCTCACTAGAACAAGTGCTAGTCGGCATAGTCTGTATTGCCGGGGACGACTTCCACCTTAATCACTGTGCTCGTGTAATTTCCCTTCCCCAGCGTGGAGCTTGAAAGCTTTGGTGGGCGCAAACTCTGCTCTTTTGTATTGAGTGTGCGTTTGAATGGAAAGTGCTTCCAAAACCCTCCAGCTTCTGTGCAGTGCACCCCGCTGCCTGCGTCCCACGGGAGTGTGTGCGCGCTGCGCTGCAGCACATGTGAGACTGGGTGCAGGGGAAGGGCAGAACGCAGCTGCCTGGGGAACGGTAGATGTCCGCGATGTTCTGACATTGGCACAGTAATTGGAGGTCTGGGAAGCCTTGAATAATGGACCTAAGGCAGGGTGGGCAATCATTTGTGATTGGGGGGGGGCACTCCAAGATTTTGGAAAATTGGAGGCCCGCACTCTTCCATGGCATTAATGGAGGTTGGGTGCGGAAGGGACCGGGGTGCAGGAGGGAGACTGGAGTCTGGGAGGGAGTTGGGATGAGGCTGGTGGTTGTGACCTAGGGCAGGGGACTAGAATGCAGGGGTTTGGGATGTGACCTAGGGTAGGAGGGGATTGTGATCTGGGGCAGGAAATTGGGATGCCAGATCTGGGAGGGGGCATGGGTGTAAGAGGGACAGAGGGTTTGGGTATGTTGAGTGGGGGGAGGGCAGAGAGTTGGGGCAGGAAATGGCTGGGGTGCCAGAAGCAGGGTGTGGGCAAGAGACTTACTTGTCAGCTGCCAAACTTGCCTGCCAGCCAGCCTGGCCATGTGCTTCATGAATAAGAAAGCCCAGGAGAGAGGGCGTGATTCTTCTTAACTTCCTGTTATTCTAACAAGCAGCTCCCATTGGCTGGGTTCTTCCAGAAACCAGCCAATGGGCATGTGATGGGGGTAGGGCGGCTCCTAAAACATCCTCCCTCCCAACGGAGCCCTGCAGCCAGGTTTCTGCACAGCACAGGGGGGAAGCCTGCCTGGAGCTCCCCGCTGCTTCTGCGGGCTGGATCCGGTGGCTTGGTGGGCCAGATCTGGCCCATGGGCCATATTTTGCCCAGGCCTGGCCTAAGGCAAGTGTGGGGTTGGCCTGACCACTCCCGGGGGGGGGGGGGCACTTGTGTGACTGGTTATGCACTCAGTGACCCTGCCTTAGTCTAGCTGAGGACCTCCTCTGAATTGTTCATTTATACCACTGATAACGCTGGACCCTGCAGCCTACTCGGCTGGTGCAGAGGGAGGCAGGCAGCCAGCTAACAGGAGTTCAGCCTTATGCCAAACATGTGCCCGCAGCGCTAAGTTTTTCTCGTCACAGATATCAAGCACAGCAAAGCCCACGCTGCCTTCTGCTCCATAAGGCAGTAGGGTGAGGTGCCAGCATGTGCTGCCTGGAAAAGATTCCCGTTAGCTGGGAAGGCAGGAATGAGCCAGTGGTACAGAGAGGGAAGAACGCAATAGAGTCTTTAAATGGCTTGATGCTGATGGCCAGCGAAGATAAGGGTTGGTGTAATGAGATGAGGTAAAAGGCCCTTTCTGAGACTGTCACCTGACTGCCTGAGACATGCAGCGCCACTGGTATGGGGGGCACACACTTAGGGCTAGTTCTTCAAGGAAATCGATGGTCCCTGCTCCACTGTCTGGCTTATTCATCATCCTCGCAGCACATGGCCCCTCCAAGAGTCGCTGGTGCAGGCAGGAGCCAGTGTCCTGGGGTGTCTTGCTTCCTCGCACAAATCAAACCAGCCTGCAAGGCTTTAGAAGGGAACTGACATACGCGGGCATGGCAAGGCCTCCAGAGTTCCTATCTGCCTGTAATGAATGGCTGGATAACGACTCCCATTAGGAATGGCAGTGCAGTATCGAGATTAGTGTGCAGTTTGCTGTATCATCATTCGGAGAAATGAATGCATGAAGCATGACCCGCTAATTGTTTCAGACAGGATGCCAAGAGTCTTTGAACAGGGTGACACCATCCAACAGGTTAACGTCCTGCGTCCCATTAAATATTGCAGCAATTTCATTCTCATCGCTGTTGCCTATTTCAAAGGCGTGCTTGTTCTTCTCAAACACTGCATTTACCTAACGCCAGACAAGTGGACGTCCCTATTAATTGCTATTGTTTCTGGGCTTCGTCTGCCTCTCCAAGACAAATGAGAGCGGTGGGGTTATCAGCAGGCATGAGGAATCGCTGATGTCAGGGTATCCAGAGGAGATTGACAGCGGTACAAGTACAGCTCAGCACAGTGCCATACAGTCAAGGTTGCTGACGACTGCGATGGGGAATATTTTGCCCAGTGATTACACAGTTTGGAATACCAATCCCGACTCAAATATCTGCTCACCGACAGAGACTTGTTTTAACAGTAAATCCCTACTATGTGTGTGTGCTGGACACACAGAGGGTTCCCACACAGAAGACCGTCTCTGCTAGTATGTGTTGATCTGTGCAATATTAAAGTTTGCCAAAGTACGTTTGCAACAAACTTATTGTTGGCCAAAGCTACACAAAACATGTTTATATTTACTTGGGAGGGGCTGAAAGCAAACAGACAGGCTAGGAACTCTGTACTGAGTGCGCTGATGATTTCTAGACAGCCTGACAGTAAGGGCTTATCTACACCAGAACGCTTTGGCTGCTTTAACTGTGCTGATATGATGTAAGGGGCATTTTGCCAGTACAGCTGATGTTTGCTTCCCAAATCAGAAGTAAGCGAAACCAGTGTAAGTATAACTTGTAAGTGTATCCGATATAACGGCATCCGTTCTGGGGCTCACACCCTACACTGATCAGTAAAAACATCACACTCCTGGTAGTGGGAGCCTGAAACATAAGCCCCTACCCAGCATAATTCTTCTGGAATAACTTCTAGCATAGACCAGGCCTTTGAGTGAAATCAGCAGTCAGGGCTGAGAGGAGAAGACCCATAGGTTGCAGGCAGAGTTCTTGCTTCTTACAGACAGCCCTCGTGACAGCTTTGAGCAGTCAAGACTCGCTTTTGAATATTAGAGGCGTGAGCTGGAGTAAGACACAGTGTGTTTTTGTGGTTGTTATACAGTCCCATGGAATCTGGTTTCTGTTCTAGGGTCGGAGGTGTGTTTTGAAAGATTGCTGCAAAATTCTAGCCAACACTGTTCTCCCGCCTGAAACCGTGGTCCCACCTTTTACAGTCTTTTCCGGCTGCCCAGGTAAAGCCCATTTAATTTTACTTTTGGCATAAATTCAGCTACCATCTATCCTGACTTTTAAAAGACATATAACACCCTGCGGTGGGGAAGGCTGGGTAGGCTCCCCGCTTGCACGGTCTTAAAGGAATAAAGCAGGGGAGAGGAGTGAGAAGTAGGCAGTGCTCAGTGAAAGGAAAAGACAATACCTGAAAAGTAACAATGCTAAGCCACAGGACTCACTGTCTCGGGGCATGCTTGGGACAGGAGTTCAGTGCGAGGAAGCATCACGTGCACAGCGTCACCAGCTTACTGTGGCTCGGCCTCGTTAGTCTGATTGCCACTTACTGAATCGCTTCCCAGCAGCTGTGGGGCCAGTCTCCTCGCCTGTCCCATACGCGCTGGGTTTGCAGGGGCCTCCACAAGCCTAGCTGGAGAGAGTTGTTAATGACAGGGCTTGTGCTACATGAAGGCATGCGAATGCTCCTGTCAGACTGCACCGCTGTGACCAGACTGGAGGTGCCAGTGTTCCAGTCCTTTGGCAACAGCCGTGGGGGGAAGGTCAGTGTAACCTTTGTTCCCTTGGTTACTTGCCTTGCTTTGGAAAGAGCTGACATGACCCTTGTTTGTCTGGGGGGGATAAGCAATTAAGGGAGCTAGCTGGAGACTGCCTGCCTTACGCATTTCTTAGGGGAAGCCAGACTATTGTGTTCATCTGCATGAGGGCAGCATCCCCCCACAAGCCCACAGGTTGCTGTTTAAGCTGCAGTATCTAGGGCACTAGAAGACGGACCCGGCATTTCTCGGGTCCTTCAGGGCAGAGGGCTGGGGAAATGGGGGGTGCAGGGCAGGAAGCTGCGGGTGTGTGGGACAGTGTGAGAGTGAGGGTTGGAGGGGTTCCGGGCAGGGGATCCCATTTGGCAGGGCCTTTTCTCTCTCCCACCTCCGGCGCTGTGGCAAGGGCTGTGGGGGTTGGGCGAGGGGCTACCCCCAGTGGCCACAGTCAGTATTGCATCTCTCCTCATTGCCCCTCCCTTTCCATGTTATGGAAAACGGTCCCGTTCCTGGCACATGCCATTTTCCTGGCACAACCAAACCCTGACCTTGCTTTCAGTTAGGACACGAGGAAGCTGCCTACTAAAGCTGGTAGTCCTAGCTCTTACCGTATAGGAGCCGTTCTTGGACAGACTCACAGACGGACAGTCAGATGCGCACTTCTACAACAGAGAAATCAAAACCAGTGGAGAAGCTGCATAAAACTTTCCCGGGTTCATTACACTTGCACTCATGCTCTTCTTGGTTTTTCAGGGCTCTTCTCTGGAGAACTCCCAGAGTGCACCCAAGAGCTGATGATCGATGTGACAAAGAGCTATTATCAGAAGTTCTTGCCGCTTACTCAGGTCTAGTAGCCTGTTCACTGTGTTTCCGAGAAGTAAAGGCACTACAGAGAGCACTGGGAGAGGGGAGGGGAGGGGAGGGGAGGTTAGTGCGCCTGCGCTGTTAGGAGTGACACGTCCTGTGTGCTTTAACACTAATGCTCCAGCAAGCAGTTCCTTGTGAAAAGTTGCTGTGTGATGTTTAAACTTTGTATATCTACTCAAATGTATTTCATTCCATATTGCCTGTGAGGTGTGCCATGAAGTGTTTTGAGGTTGCAGTACAGTTACAATTCCCGCTAGAGTAATGCATCCTTCTCCAGTTGAGCATTGAGGCAGGACCCTACTGTAAATACTTCCCCGGGGCAAAGTGAATTGCATTCATCTGTCCTCTTCAGCCTGACAGCTAGAGTGTATAACTGTTACAAGTAACCTTTGTCCCTGACCCAAGAGGCTGCTGTAAGTACTGACTCTGAGGCAGGATTTTCCTTCATCTACCCTCTAGCACATGGACTGGGATTCTCTCCCCATACTAAGAACAGAATATCTTCTGCCTCCCCTAGTTTGCTTCAAAACTTTCTGTAGTTTAGCGTTCCTGCCTCCTGCTCCCAGGATTATGGGCAGAGACCTGGCTTTCTCTGCCCTGGCTGAAGGCAAATGTCTCACCATCTGGTTACTTTAAGAGCAGAGACGTTTACCTGCATTAATCCCAACTGCCTTGCCAGCTTAGTGTTCTCATGACTGATGCTCATTTTTCTCCTGAGCAGCATGCAGTTCAGAGACTCAGATGAGATTATGGAAAGAGGTCGCCCACTGCATTATCTGCTGCCAGAAGTGGGAGAGGGTGGCATTAGTCCAAGAGTGCCATGCTGCAGGGGGCACGGCCTGTTGGCAGCTCTTAACTGCCATGTAAGAGTTGTCACCTGAAAAAATCCCTCAAAAAAGCAGCAAGTGCATGGCGAGTTGGGCACAGTTCACATGCTAGGCACGGTTCTTATCGGGGTAAGCCATGTGTATAACTCATGGGAGGCTACGAATTCCACGCCTCTGACTCCTGTAAGGTGGGCCCCTGCCAAGGACAGGGTCCCCTCCTGTTGCATTGTGTTCAAACTTAACATTACCCCTTCTCTGCTGACCCGGGCATTTAAAACCAGGGCCTGTGTGGTGTCCTGCACTGAGCTCGGAGCCAGAGTGCCTGGCAATCGTGTTGTAGGCCTGTAGGTTAGAATAGCAGTGAAAGGCCTTCAGCTGTTGTGTATCACGTAGGGCTCTGATACACATTAACTAACTAACAGCTATATCCATACTACATGTGTTGTAACCACTGTTAATCAAATGTAGCACCGCTGTCTGGTTTGTTTGTATTTTTTACTGTACATAAATTAAAAGCCTCTTATATGGGTCAAGTGACTTGAAAGTTGTAACTTTCCAAATCAGATTGCCAAGGGCACTGAGTTCCTGCTGTGTCACTGGACTCGTTCCAGGTTCTGTTGTTCAGAGAGGCACCTGAGCGCTTAGCAGGCATTTAGTTTGAGTGCGTAAGGAGCTGCTTGCCTCGCCCGAAGCAGAATAACTTGGACTGTGGCGAGCTGGTTTACCTGTCTGCCTAGAAACAGCAAAATAACATTCGAGGGCCGCTGATGGGAAACTGTCCTGGGAAACACTGAGAAACACTTACCAACCCTGCACACAATCAGTCACTTCCCTGTTAATGTGGTAACAGGCCCCAGCCAAAAAATATTACTAGCTCCAGCCAAGAAGAGAACAAAAGGGGGGTATAAACAGTTACATGAAGATAAGAACAGTCCAGTTCTGCCAAGTAGCAATTAAAAGGGCCGGTTAGAGGCAAAGACACCCTTTCAAAACTGGAATTCTAGTGAGAAAAATAGAAGGAACATAAAACTCCAGCAAGTCAAGTAGAATTAGGCAGGCCAAAAAGAATGTGAACAGTGACTAGCAAAAGGCACGAAGTAACAGCAGTTTTTTCAAGTACCTCAGAAGCAGGAGGCCTACCAAACAGTCAGCTGGGCCACTGGCCCATTGAGGTGCTAAGCAGGCCAGTGCAGAGAAGCTAATTTCTTTTTTTTACATTAGTCTTCACTTAGAGTGAAGAGGGTGTGAGGGAGACTCTCACACCTGAGCCATTCCTTTCTAGGTGACAAATCTGATGGATTTTCCCTGACTGAGGTGTCCACTGATGAGTTTTTGGAATAAATTGATAAGTGGGGACTGCAACCAGTGTCAGATGGTTTTCACCCACAAGTTCTGCTCCTCCTTAACAAGCAGGGAAATAAGGAAGAGCCCTGCTAATAGAAGAGGAGAGATTGTTTGTGAAACAGGCAGCCAGCCAGCCACAAATACAGCCGAGCTGTAGGTTATGGAGACCCCCTCCTGAGCACGTCCTATTCCAGATGGAATTGTGATAGTCCCAGCTCTAGAGCTGGGGTGTTTCGCCTCCGATGTCATTCTACTGCAGCTGCATGCAGCCCATGTCAGTTAGCCCTGTGATGTATGCTGGGTACAGCGGCCTGTGTTCCGCCTCCACGCGGCTGGTGTCAGCGACGGGAGACGATCGCTATGGCTGTCTGCAATGGCCCTGCAGCCCAAGTCTTCCTTACCCTGAGGCCACGCAGCCCGTTTCAAATCCAGCCACTTCCCCCTCTCCAGCCCTGAAGTGTGCGCACCCCCAAGCCTGTGTTAAACTAATTCTCTTGTTGGTGCAGCAAGCCCTTGGAAATGCCCCTGCTTTCTTCTGACACTCACTTTCCAGGAGGGTGGATTCCTTCTCTACCTGCTCCTCAGCCCAGCCAAAACTGGCAGGCCCCCAGAGGGTTGGTGCTGCGACGCTGTTGGATCCTGCAGGGTTGTGGTCCTATTAAGCCTTATCTATGCTGGGCTTCACAAAGAGAATGTTTGGGGTTTAACCCCATGTCTGGGCTATCTTAGCACTTGGTCCTGCATTGCCTAACCAGATCTGAGGACAGGGCAAGAAGCAAGGGAGGTTGAGGTTAGACATTAGGAAAAACTTCCTGCCTGTCACGGTGGATAAACACTGGAATAAATTGCCTGGGGGGTTGTGGAATCTCCATCTCTGGAGAAATTCAAGAGCAGGTTGGGCAGACACCTGTCAGGGATGATCTAGGCGGTGCTGGGTCCTGCCATGAGGGCCGGGGACTGGACTCGATGACCCCTCGTGGTCCCTTCCTGTTCTGTGATTCTATGGGGGTGCAACTGAGTTTAAGAAACCCTGTTACACCAGGCCTGGAGCCAAATGTCGCTGGAGGCTTAAAGAGCTTAACTGTACGTTTCTCCTGTGAGTCAGCTTGTCTGGCTTTAGCGTGATGAAAATGTGACTGGGCCAGGGCCTGCCGCCTTTCACCTGAGCGGCGCAAGTATTAAGTCAGATGTTCTTTGCATGGGAGGACATTGTGTCCTGCTGCTACGTGAGCTGAAAGGAGTTGATCCTCCAACCCATTCCCCTCCAGGCCTCTCCACAGAGAAGCGAGAACTTTACTCTGCAGCTCCATCCCACAGGCACATAGGTTGCAGCCTCAAAGCTCACATGCCCAGACACACTGCAACTGCTGAGCGTCTGGCATGAGCACTGGGAAGTAGCTGCAGGAACACATTCAGCCTAGGGATGTGAACCCCTGGTCAATCAGTTCACATTAGATTGCCCTCGCATTTAACCCGTTAACCGGCTAAGCAGGATCTGGGCTGGGGAATGCTGCAGCCCGCCTGGAACAATCCCCAGCCTGCAGCTGGAGCTGGCTGCCGGCTCCCTGTCCCACGTGGGGACAGGGGCTGCCACCGGCTCCCAGCTCTTACGGGAGCAGCCAGTCCGTGGTGGATCCCGTGGGGAGCTGCTCCAGCCCCCACCGGTTAATTGGAACCATCCATTAAGGGTGATGCTAACCAGTTAACCTTTCGCATTCCTAGTTCAGTCCCACTGGAGTGACACCGACCATCTCTTTGCTAACTGACCAGGGCAGCTCTGTGCTTGGCAAGAAATGGTCAGCGGCAGGGTCCAGCTGCATGTGTTACCACATCCACTGCAGAGTTTCAACACCACGCAGGCATTTCACAAGGGTTGCTGGGTTGGGGCCGCACTCGGGCCTCGGGAGGTGAGGGGAAAGGGGAAAACCCCTTTTGAAAGATGGGAGCTAGGTTTTTGCGGGAGGAGGGAGGTTAAGGGGGTGCAGTCCAAAGCCTTGGGGTGAGCTCTGGGTCCTGCCGTGTCTGGTGCTGTGATGTGTTAGCACAGCTCTGCGGCCAGGGGTCTGCAGTTGTAGGGCTTCCCAGGAGCATCTCAGCCTGGAATCCTCTTTTACTAGACTGCCCTTCCTCCGCCTCAATGACCGTCTGTTTTGTTGTCTTTGTTAAGGCGGCCTCTGCCAAGGCCTAAAGACCAAGTCGCCCGTGAAGACCTCACAAAGGCAGCACTGTTAAAATCCCCTAGATCTGGCCCTTTTACCCTCCGTCCGCTGGAGCATCGCTCTGCCGGGGCTCGTCTCTGCACCTCTGCCTGGGGCTGGAACCATGAAGTCTCCCTAGGTTGGTGCCTGCCACCGCTGCCTCCTGGGAGTTGTAGTCTCCTGATGTCTGCTGTTAGCTCGAGACAGTGGAATGAACCACAACTTCCAAGAAGAGGCTTTGCTGCACAGATCTGGAGCAAACAGCCGCAGCGGGGTAGCTGGCTTTGTGGGCAAAGGGGACTCTGCTACTGAATTCCTTTCTTCAGGAGCCTTTTCAGAGCGTTCTCACGTGTCAAAATAAACCGTCCCTGCCTTTTGGCACCATACAGTTTTGTGGGCCCTGAATGCCCTGCCTAGCTGCTGGCAGCTTTCCGTTTTGTTTGAAATAAGGCAGCAGTGCTCAGAAACAGAACAATCGGAGCTTCGGGAAGCTGCTTTCTCCCAGGGTCCCAGGCTAGTGGTTCCAGCCACAAGGGAGCAAGGCCACAGGCTGTTGTAGGGCTCTGTCACGAGAGGGAACGGGGCCCAAGAGCATTGCTGGAGGTCAGACCTGCTCCACCAGGCCCAGGGTCTAGACTACAGAGTTTTGTCCACAGAAGTTTTGTCAACAGATACTGTCGACAAAGCTTCTGTCGACAAAGAGCGTCTAGACAACATCCAGGTCTGTTGACAAAGCAAGCCACTTTGTCGACATAACAGTGTGGACGCAAAGGACAGTGTAGATGCAATAATGCCTCCTATCGACAGAACTCTGTCGACAAAAGGCGTTATTCCTCGTAGAATGAGGTTTACATACGTCTACATGACTCAAAGGCAGTGTGGACGCAGGTATAGTTTTGTCGACAAAACCCTGTAGTCTAGACACACCCCCAGAGTCTTGGAGCTAGTTGAGCCATTGGCTGCAGTGTGTGACCTGGACCTGCAGGGCCCAGGGTCTGGCACTGCAGCCTCAAGCGAGCCATGAACTCTAAGTCCCTTCTAGAAGCCATGTGAATGCCTCTAACTTGCCAGTATTTATACAGCGGAGTCTCGTAGGAAGGCAGCTACCTGCTTAGCAAGGCGCCCGGCAGGGCACCGGTTTGAGTCCCTCCTGGCGTTAAATGAAGCTGGTTCAGGCAATGGGGAGGGGACGCCCGGGCAGGGATACTTGTCAATTGACATAAACACTGACCGACCCGTTTACAGGCCCTGCGAGCTGTTAGCAGGGAGCATTGCCTCTAGGGACTTCGGGGGCCCTAGGCTCAGCCAGCTCGGGGGGCAGGGCTGGGAACACCTGGCACGTGGGCTTGTTTCCTTGTCCTGGTCTAAAGGCACAAACCTGGAGCTCAGGTGCCCATGGCAATGCCTGGCTGCTGCGCTAGCAGTGTCGCTGGGCAAGTCTCCGGCTGGCCTGTGCTCTGCTCCGAAACAGGCAACCGCTTGCAGAACAGCTCCGGGGAGCCAGAGGCAGCTCCTTCCCGTAGGCCTGCGGGGGCAGCCACTGGCCAGGCCTGGATTGCGCACTGGGGGGACGTGCAGCAGGCTGCAGGCAACAATGGCTAGAGTTTCAGCCGCACACACTTATCTGGGGGAGGGGGATTACTTCTCCCACCACCGCTGCTGGGGCAGAGCCCAGGGTCCATCCCCACCACACTAGGTCAGGTGTGGAGAGTGTCACTTTAGCCAGGACAAGAGCTAACGGCCCCTCTCCCCTTACTCAGAGAACCATGCGTCGGCTGCCACCACCATGACGGGGGGAGGCACCCGAGAGGCCCAACTGCCAGCAGCAGAGGGGCTCTAGCTCAATGCACTGAGCCAGTGCTAAGGACAAACCGCTGCCCTGAGTTACCAACGCGGCCTATTGCAGCGCCAGCTGTTCCCTGGAAAGTCCCAGCTACGGACCAGGCCTCAGCAGTGAGACGTGCCGCATCACTGCAGGAGCTGTGGCAGGAGGAGCCATCCAGTGTGTAGATGAGGGGGTGGGATTTGAAGATTATAGAATCACAGAACACTAGGACTGGAAGGGATCTTAAGAGGTCATCAAGTCCAGTCCCCTGCCCTCATGGTAGGACCGGGTATCATCTAGACCCGTGATTCCCAACCTTTTTCTCATGGAGGAACCCCTAAAATAATTTTTCATATCCCAAGGAACGCCCCCACCTATGAAAACGTTTGCTTGGCCAGAAAAAGTTGACAGCGGGTAGCGCAATTCAATTACTGCTAAATTATTGTCAAGAAAATGTATTTGTAAAGAGCTGTTATATATCTATGTCAGCTTACATTGTAAGAAAAAAATATTTATTCCACAATTTCTCATGGAACCCTGGTTGGGAAACACAGATCTAGATCATCCCTGGCGGGTGTCTGTCCAACCTGCTCTTAAATATCTCTAGTGAGGGAGATTCCACAACCTCCCTAGGCAACTTATTCCAGTGTTTCACCACCCTGACAGGCAGGAAGTTTTCCCTAAACCTCCCTTACTTTAACCGAAGCCCATCGCTTCTTGCCCTGTGGAGAGTCATTACCATGGTCAGCCCAGGGCACAGCTGCACTGAAACTGCCAAACAGCACACGAGTTGTAATAGCAAAGAGATCAAATACAGAGCGAGTGAGAGGCCCTGTCTGGGAGACTGCGGGAAGAACTGGGCAGGGGCAGGGTTCCTGGGACAGAACCTTCAGGGAGAAACAATCATGACCAGATGCCTCTGAAAATGCAGACAGAGAAAAAAGACATTTCCCCGAACACTCGCCTAACCAATCTCTAGTGACACGGTGTTAACAAATGGTGGCAGGGAAAGGGAACCCAAAGTGCTGTTCAGAAGAGAACACCCTGCAGCAGTTCCGATCAGACTGAACAAAAGGCAACCAGGAGCTGATCACACCCCGATAACACTTGCCCGAGTCTAACCAGTAAGCTGCTCAGAACACACACGAGATGAGACGCAGGCTAAAAATCACCCCGCTGCTTTCTCGAAAAGTCACCTTTTCCAAATATACCGACGAGAAACCCCCCGGGCCCGGGAAACTGTTCTGCACCTAAGCCCATCTCCCTCCCTGTCACAATAAACTAGTCCAAATCCCTGTTTGACACAGTGGTACCTAACAGCCAAGTGCACGGTTGTATCTCACAGCCCCGCCTCATCACCCTGGATATGCTCATGGAGACAGAGCAATATCACGCCAAGTACCTGTCAGACTCTGTTCTCGCCTCTGTGTTAGCCACACCAGTGTCTACTTGTGCATTCGGTCTGGGTACTTATCTTGAGTATTCCCTGTACCACGGGGTCCCAAACTTTTCTCTGCCACTGCAGCCCTTGATACCTGTCATTCTGAGATACACCAGGGGTTGGCATCCTACAACACGTGTGCCGTAAGTAGCAGGCAAAATGATTTTCACTGGCACACGAGCTTCCCCACCCGATCCGAACGCTAGACCCCCGGCTCTGCGCGTTGCCATTTTCCTTCCCCCGGCAGGGACAGGCTCATGCTAGCGCAGCAGCAATGGCCTCCCTCCCCGAGAAGGTAGGCGCTCTGGGCTCTTTGCCAGGGGGCAGCCAGGGGAGCTTCCAGTGGCGCGCAGTTTCTGGAGTCCAAAGCATTTTTCGAGTCCCAGTGAGACCCCTCCATCTACTGTGGCTGCCCCCCCCCTGCGCGCTGTGCGGCCCTCTCCCTCCTGCTGCAAGACTGCCTCTGCCATGCAGGGCCCCGATCCACCCACCCTGCTTCCTCCTCCATTTGCAGGCAGTCGCTTGTTACAGTGGCCACCGCGCAGGGAGGGGGGGGGGGGGGAAGGCAGCCTGGTCTGAGGCAAAACCCAGTGGAGCCGTTCCTGGACCTCAGCGCCTTGGAGGCCCCAGGAGGGGCTGCACGGAGCCTGGCTGGGGCGCTGCAGGACGGGGTGCGCTCGGGCTCAACGGGTGTGCTCTGTGCGCTGCTGCTCGCTCTCCCTCCCCCTGCCCACCCCACTGGGGGAATGGTAATGCAGTGACGCATGAGGCTTTCCCCACTGCAAGGGGTGCGAAGGCAGGTAAGACCCCCACACCCCAATCCCCCTCACTCCCTTCCCTCCACCAAGACCCCTCCTCAGCTTGCTCCAACACCCTCCTTTGCTCCTGCACCCTCCCTCCTGGCCACACACCCTAGCCCCATCCTGCTCCTGCACCTTCCCTCAGTGGAGAAAGTGCCAGGCACTTGAGAACAGCAGCTTGGGATGACAAGCCATGAATAACTTTCTTCTCATTCCCCGAATAGTCTTCCTACGGGTGGGATTTAAATGCAGGACAATGAATTAACTCAGAGTATCACCAGTTCAGGAGCGAGGCCCCAACACATCAGGAGGCTGCCCCACCCCCAAAGGTGTGGTTATTTACAAAGCCGTCACATTGGGTTTTTCAGTCTGTCTGTGATTGGTACACGGCCCCTGCCCGCCCCAGAGAGACTGTTACCATGGGCTGGGTGAGGACTTTGGCCCCAGCTGCAGTTCTCACCCATCTGCTCATCCCCTCTCCAGCAATGAATCCTGCCTCTGCAACCTCCAAGTCAGGGCTGCCCCCCAGCCCCTTCCATTCAGCCCCCACCTCACCCCAGTTCCATCCCACCCCGACCAGCTTTGCCTGCCCAGCTCCTCTACCCCCACCCAGCCCGACTCACAGCAGTTCTGCCCCCACCATGTCTGCCCCCCACCTCATTTCAGCCCCTCCCAGCCTCATCTCTGCTTCTTTCTCCCCCCCCCCCACTCCGGGGGCTGCTGCAAGGTTCCCCACAAGGGAGGGGTACAGGAGCTGACCCCTTGCTCATAGGAGGGGGGGAGGAGGAGGATGATACTGAGCTCTGATTGGTTGCTCTGCCCCTTCAAGCGATGAGCAACGAGGCAGCTAGCCAATCAGAAGGTGGCTTTCCGCCTGCCCTACCCACCCTGCGCAGGACTCACGTTTGCCTCTCCCCCTGGCTTTGGGCCGGGGAATGTGGGGCATGCGCAATATTTGAAAGAGGCTTCTGGGCCATCCAGCCCCAGCACCAATTACAATGCGAGGGAAGGGTTGTTTGCTCTCACGGGTAGGTTTCTCTAAAAAACGCGGCAGCACCCGGCTGGGAACCGCTGCCCTGGGAAACACAGGCTGCCCTGTGAAGCACCGGGCGTGGTGCCAGAGGAGAAACCCCGCAGTGCCCGTGTTACGACGGTGTCCCTGTAAATCTGCTGCGCCCAGGCCGCTGAGAGCCTTTACCAAACAGGGCAGAGTAAACTCCTGCAAAACCGAGCAAACCAAGTGAAAGCGACGCTGTGCTGTGCACATCGCCTAGGCAAAGGAAAGCCTCCGGCTGCTGCCCCGTAGCAGGCTTCCCGGAGCCTTCCTGACGC